CCAATGCTCTCCCATGCGATGTTGAAATGTCGCGCATTTTGGCAAGCTNCCCCACCCATTTCAGCCCGAATTTGTTTGCCATCAAGTGTTGCGGTTATTCCTCGTTGCCTCTCCATCAACCTTGTTGCTTGATCGGACTACGCCTGCAAGAAACGTTGTCGTTGCGAAGCCTCCATGGGTCGAATGCCGTGTAGGCCCATCAACGCATGAAACGACCCGAGCAGTTCGAATCGCTCCTACCCCCAAGTAGGTGGCCCACTCTGGGCCACGCGACCGTTTTACTCTCTCGACTCAATGATGCTTGAATTCAGACGTGTCGCATGCGTACCACACAGGTTGTATGAAAGTACCGACAGTTTTCGGTCTGTTTGCAACAGGATCGGTGGGATGCCGTGAAGAAGTTTCTAATTGTTCTGAACACATACGATTAAAAAAGTGTACTCATTCTGAGCGCCCCACCGTGCAAAACTCTTGTAAGCAGTATGCTTAGTCTCTTTAGCCTTTGCCGGCGCTTCTTGGGTTGCGTATGTACAGTCAACACGCGATACCATTATTGTTTATTTTTTCCCATTGAACACTTGCCGCTTCCCCAGCGCAAGCTACTATCACCGAGTCTGGGAATTTGTTGTAAAGGGTCCCAAAAGCTTTTTCGTCCTTGTTGGAACAGGGTCTTGGACTCCGTTTCTTCGTGCAGACCCCTTGGCGCTGTAGACAGTAGTTGAACTGCTGTTGGCTGCCTTGATTGTGTGTCTCATTGTGACCTACAACGTCTGCCCTGCCTTCACGCCACCCCCCGTCCGGTTTCTCCACACATCAGGTGGTGGAGAAGATGGAGAACGGAGGGAGGACTGTAACCCGCGTGGGACAGCAGGACCTTGACCGCATCGCCGGCGCGGTCGTACGTGGAGACGACTAAACCTGTTGTTGCTCTTGTGACGATATTGGGGGCTATGCGAAAGCGTAGCGGGTTGACAAACCAAGCGCTAACCGAACCTGGCTGGTCTGTAGGACTAGAGGGGAGACACGGGACGGTTTGGGTGGGCTGGTAGCCTCTTGGAGGTTTTCCCTCGTTTTGGTGCTTCGGGCAACTCAATAATAACTGGCTGAGACTCAAGTGACTCCGACTCGATCGATCGTGTGATTGCTGCTTCTTCATATGTGGATGTGATATTGGCCCTTTGTGCGACGTGCTGCTTGGCAAGGCGCTTACGCGTTGCTGCCGCGGTTGATGCGTGCGGTGGCACTGCTGTCCTGTTCCTACCCACATGAATGATTCAGGGCCAAAACGCCGAGGAGCTGGCCGCGATACTGCTGTGTTGCTCGGGGGTGTGTGCCTTCCCTCTCGCTTACCCGATACAGCGCTCACCTCACAGCATCGGGTCGCGTCACCTGCTGCTACGTCGGTGCCCGGTTCCGTGGCATGCCGACGACGGTGACTAATCCCGATAGTGATGCATGACGCGTGCGGCGCTACACACAACTCTGTTCGTCCTTGGACTGGGCAGAATTTATCCGAACAACCGCGCTCAGGCTTCAACACAATGACAAGGCATGATTGCGACACTTTCCCTCAATCTCTTCCGCAAGCACGAGACACGAAATTGCATGCAAAGGCACGCATTTTCCGACCATGCTCTCCTTTGTAAGCGCCCCTCTCCCTACCCAAAGCAGTCTGTGATGAGTTTACTTCGAAATTTCCCTGCTTTCCGGTCTACGCCGAATCTCCCAGAGCTCCATTGCGTTGCTCCGTTCATATCGAAAACACTGCTGGAAAGACAGGGGAAGTCTCCTGCCCTCGAACCCTTTTTTTGCGCTCTGTAGTCCCTGCTGTGTACAGTCGTCTACCCCAGTACCCACCCCGTTTTCCTCCGTCACAATTTCAACGTTTCTCATGAGAGCGTTGTAACCCGTTGCTGCTACTGACAATTCAGCTGCGGAAAAATTGAAGCGTTTCTCGAGAGCGAGGTAGAGCACTGCATCTGTGCCAAGGGGATGACACTCGTGATCATCGACAGGTTTGCTGACAGGTACGTCAGTAACGGCCAAGTCTTCGCAAGATGGAGTGGCTGTAGTTGATGGTGTCGTATGATGTGGCAGTGTTTTAGTGGCGTTGTCCGCGGTGCTCGAGTTGCTACCATTACAGTTCCTGCCGTCTTTGCCAAGACCTCTTGTGCGCAAGGACGGCACCGGCATGAGCAATTTGAGCGCTTCGAAGAGCGCATCTGTCAGGCCCTCATCGTAGATGACGTCAGCAGCGACAATCACGAGCCCACCGCGCTTGGAATCGGAAATATTGGACAGTCCGTCCAGCTCGCCGTCTCTCCACGAAAACCGACCGCAAGTGCCAGTGCCAGTGGTGCGGTCATCGTTGGGGTTGTTCTTCACGTCTCCCATCCCGGCGATGTCTGCCTCGCTGGAAAAAGCGTGTCTCTGCGCCCAACAAACATGAGTTTGCGACCGTGACACAGCAGGCAGGCGAGTGTACCACGAGTCAAAACAGGTGCTTTGTCTTTACATCCTGTACTACATCCCGTTGCTCGCGCTTTCCCTGGAACACGAAGTGAGACAGCGACGTCGTGCAGCGGCCGAACAGCCCTCCCTTAATGCCAGATAAACCAAGTATGCAGACCCATGCCCGATCACCGTCGGTAGCCATAATCAAACAAACACCACATGATAGCCTTCCGTCGGGTCCTTGTGGGACACTGCTGTGGCGATGGAAAGATTGTGAGAAACCGCCAGGAGACACGCCGATATTCTGGACATCAGGAGCGCATGCAAAGAGCTCGCGTGGAATGTGCCTCTCCAAACTCGACATCATCTCCCAAAGTTAGCCGCAACTGATGGCTATTTCTCTGACCTGGTCCTCCTCCACACAAGTAGTGAGGTCAGGAGGATCCTGTTCCTTGGAAAAAGTGAACCAATCCAGCTTCCGCACTGCCGCCACGCAATCCCCTGACCGAGGTCCACCTCCATCCCTGCTACGAACACCGCTGCACAAAGTGCCGTTTTCGACCTGGACATCACTGTAGCCACCACCGGCATCTCTCGGAGCGGCGTCGTCGTCAAGGACTGCCGATGGCTCAAGGGCAAAAAGGTGTCTGTTCGCCTCTACGTTGCGAGCGAGAAGCTTGAGCACCTTTTGTACCACACGCCATAGAACAAGCAGAGGGGCGGTCCAAAAGCACGACCGAGGCGAACACGAGACGTTTAGCCTGAAAATAACTCTCTTTGCGTGTTTCTCGTAATACTTGGGGGCGCGGAGTGCTGGCGACGGATGATGTCTGTCAGAGTATCAGGCAACAACGTCGCACGACAAAACCGCTCCAATACAGTTAATTGTCAACGCAGCGCCTGGGAAAAAGCGGCAACACACCTCATCGTGGTAGTCCGTCAGATAGCATCTCCGAGCCACCCGGGCTGCGATCAAACCGACTACCCCCGGACCGGCGCCAAGGTCGAGCACCTTGAGGATAGGATTCAAACAGTAGAAGCAGCAGTGTAGGAGTGGAACGGTAAGGCCAGTCGACGACACGCTTCCAAGCGACATGACAAACAAATGGGAGTATGATGGTGAAGCCAAAAGAGGTTGTTGGTGGTTCCACCCGGTGGTTGGGATAGCCGAGGAAAGAAACTCGTTGGTCAGCTCGTCCACAAAAAGTTGAGTTCATCAGCATTTGACTTTTTGTGTGCCCGGGTTCACTTTTGATTCCAAAAGCTATCATCTACGGCGTAGCGTTTAATCGCATCTAAAACTTACCATTATTAGTACACCCCCGTATGGGGAAACTTTTGGGAACATAACACTCAAAACATGTTTGCCGCACCGCAGTTGCAGTAGGCTCCGCTGTGAGAAGCACTTGGGAAACCTTGGCCTACCATGATTGTGTGAGGTGGTATATTGTGCGATACGCGGTGCGATGGCTCTCCTTCGGCCTCTGATTTGCTGTACACTTTATCACTTATCTTCCAAGTCGCATGTCCCCTTGGTGAACGGAAAGGTCTGCATAGCCTGTTAGAACTGGAAAAATTGCGGACTTGGCTTAGTAGACTACATAGTGAAGATAGTCCCAACGGCATTTCGGGACACTTTTCTGTCTAAAACCAAGTAAACTTTCGTTCCTCGGGACTGTACAGCCTCTGCCAATTAGAGTAAGCGATTTTTGCTTGACCTTCAGCCTGTACTCAATGTACCTGCATACCCGCGAACAGCTCGTCGTGGGTCAGCACGAAGTCGCCGAGCAGGAATGACGCTGACCAGACCTGCTGCCCGACCAACCCTAGGGTCGTCGCCATTTTGTGCACAATGGTCAGCACCTCGTGAGATGGCCTGCAGCAGCGCTGGGCTACCTCGTGCCGAGGGCGCTTGCGATGTCTCGCGACCCTCGGCCTCGTCTGTTCCTCGCTGTCGCTGTCGCTGTCGCTGTCGCTGTCGCTGTCGCTATCCTCGTTGTCGCCAGATGTCGGCGTGAGGTAGGCGAACCGCGATACCACCTCAGCTTCTTCGTGTAGATTGCTGCCTCCAACGTGCACCTCTGACAAAACGAGGCGTTCGGCCGGGGTGCCATCCTCACAGATATTTTCCATCGCTGATGTGGAGGGCATTAGCGGTACCATTTACGAGGACAGACTCGATAGCGCGAAGCCTCACACACGCTGCGTGTCGTCAATGAAGTACAATAATAGAGCCAGCCTGTTGTCGGGTTTTCCGCACGCTCTTGAGAGAAAGCACACGCCGCGGTGCAGGCAAGTCTTCTGTTATGCTGACTGCCGTTGATGGCTCCAGCTCATGAAGTTTATGTCCAAAGACTGCTTGTCGGGGATGTCGTCTTGGCGGCTCCGCTGAGGTGCGCACAAGAGAGCGAGAAATGAGATGTACCCCGCTGGGGTTGCTCGCATCTCCGGAGATAGGGGGGCTCCGTGTATGTTTGTTTCCAAGTGTACCCGGGCCTGCCCTGTTACGCCAACCAAAAACAATAGATCACACGACCCACACGTGCTTTCGACAACCAGGCACTTGCGTGCTCCATGCGATAGGGCAATGCGGGCTCGGAGTCTGTTCCTTTGTGCGGGAGCTCCTCTGTGTAGGCTTGCACAGGAGGTATTGCCTCCGGGTGGTAGAGGCAGCCCAGCCTACCCCACAAAGGCAGGATCGAAAAGAACAAAGAGCAGCACCCAGCACCACGCCAGCATCAGCAAAAGCAGCAGATCTCAAAATCAGCCCCGAGAGCTACAGCTTCACCTCAAGGATGACTCTTGGGCGGATCCCATGGCGCGTTCTGACGTAGCATATGCGGCGCTTTTGATGAACGACCACGATCGTGGGATTCGAACGCTTGGTCAGTCTCTCATCGACTCGCGCACCTCGGCGGATCTGGTGGCTATTCTGGGCGCTGGGGTAACCAAGGTGACCGAGACAAGGATGCGCGCTCAGGGCTGGAGAATACGAAGGCTCGCCGTGGGCGGCGTTGACGGTGACGGGGGGGGTGTACATAAACTGGACCGTGCCAGTGAGTCGGTGAGTCGAGCGTACAAAGTGTTGCGTGTTTTGCATTGATGAGTACCGAGTGCGTTTCCCGAAGACCCTCTTGCCGTGGACTATCCAACCCAACAGCGGTGCCGGTCACGTGTTGACGCGAGGGAGGGTATTGTAACGTGCTCTGACAGTGCAACAAGATGCTTGCAGCGTACAGACCGTTTGCCCTTGCACACGAAGTGACAGGGTACCAATAACGGCCTCAAGGAGCTTCGTTCTCTCTGATTGACATATTGCTACTTTGCATTTAGCGCAATTTGGCATGCTCAAGGCTTTGTCATATGGTCAGTCCAAGACCCAATAGTCTATCAACAATTGCGACACCCACTTTATGAATTGTTTCTCTGCACCCAGGTGGTTGTTCGCAAAACCGAAAGTACGTACCGGCAAACGCCCTGTTTCCAGGTGCAGGTCCCTGTGGACAGTTTTTTTTTTTCTTGTTGTCGATTTATTTGCAAATAACCGGAAAATCTTGTTCACTTTTTCCTGGGGTGGGCTTTTGTCAGACCACAATTATGAGACCGGATTTCGACAGCTCTCGCGATTCCCCAGGTGGAATTTTCTTCCGATTTCGATTTCAGCAGAAGTTGACGAAGTTATCGCCGAAAAACTGGATTAGAAAGACCATTTTGTTCACTTTTTCCTGGGGTGGGCTTTTGTCAGACCACAATTATGAGACCGGATTTCGACAGCTCTCGCGATTCCCCAGGTGGAATTTTCTTCCGATTTCGATTTCAGCAGAAGTTGACGAAGTTATCGCCGAAAAACTGGATTAGAAAGACCATTTTGTTCACTTTTTCCCTCCGACTTTCAACCATAGAGCTTCAAAAAGACCACGGCAATCGATTCCTCTCGAAATTCCCCAGATGGAATTTT